CTTTGTATCAGACATTGTGCTAGGTTTCGTGAGGGCATTTATATTTCCCTCTCCTTAGTCTCCGCGTAGTATTGTCGTCTTGCTATAAAATATTTTATGCGTTGCACGTTTTTTTAATTTTTTAAATGTATATATTAAATTTAAAAATTAAAATTTAATTTAAAAAAATATAATATATTGATAAAATTTAAAGACGAATTAAGATAAAAATTAAATTATAAAAAATATGCATTATTAATGGAAAAATATAAATTCTAAAAAATAAAAATAAAATAGACTGAAAAATTAAATCACTCATAGTAAAATATAATTTAATATATAATAAAAAAAAATTGGGGCAATTTTCATATTGCGTATGTTATGAATTAAAGAGGAATTTTTATGATCCAATTTGATTCGGTTTTATGATTAGAGTCAAATTAAACCCACTTTAATAAATCCATATGTTTTAAAAACTATAAATCCAAGTATTTAGTTACGGGAGTTTAACTAAATAATAGACATAAAAGTTATTGCTAAAAATTTCTTTGATTGATAGAAGGTTAGCTAGTTCCACCTAAAAAAATTTAAACTGTCCTCACTCACGTAACGGAAGAATTAATCTAAAGAATTAATCTAAGAGGGTGTATTGGATTAGGATTTTAAAAGATTTTTTTCAGATAATTTTTTTTATAGATTTTAAAAAAAGAATAGGATATTGTAAACAACCAAGTAATGTTACAACTAATGTTACTACCAACCAATCTCACCGTTGAATTTGTAGTAGCGATCCGACGGTCCTCGTTTAATCCCTAAATAGCCCCTGTCATCGCTTCTCTCTCCCCCTTCTCTCTCTTTTCCCTTTTTTCTCTCTCACTATACACTCTGCCGTCGCCGTCGCCGCCGCCTCCCATAGCCAGACACGTGACGGCGCTGCTGCCCATATCGTCCGTCTCGCCTCCGCCGCTGCACTCTACCGCCGTGGCCGCCTTTTATCCCTTATCCCTCTCTGAGTTGTGCTCCCCTCTCTCTACCGCCATTTATCCCTCTCTGCGTCTCCGGTCCCAATTGTCTTTCTCCTCTCTTATAGAAGGTGGTGTTTTACCAAGGCTATTAATTAATTATGTACTTGCGTATGTGTCTGTCTCTTTTTTTAATATTATGTCTCCCCCTACAAAAGCTGGTGAGAATTGATCTTCCGGCAGAAACCCTAGCTCGTGTATTTGGCGAAGCTCTCTGCGGGATGCAGCAGCGCGACGGAGGCAGGCGGCGCGGTCCGGACAGAGGCTATGGGAGGCGACGACGACGGCATAATGTATATTGAGAGAGAGAAAAAAGGGAAAAGAGAGAGAAGGGGGAGAGAGAAGCGAAGACAGAGGCTATTTAGGGATTAAACGAGGACCGTCGGATCGCTACTACCAATTCAACGATGAGATTGGTTGGTAGTAACATTGGTTGTAACATTACTAGGTTGTTACAATATCGTATCCCTTTAAAAAATTATTCAGAATTGGAGAGACTTTAAAGACTTTTTTTACAATCAAGATTTCATAAGATTGGATTTTAAAGGATTTTAATAGAATTTATAAAATTTGAAAGGACAATATGGATTTATAAAATTTAAAAAAATCATATGAATTTTTAACAAACATTTAAAATTATAAGAGTCAATAAAAAAAATAACAAAGAAATACAATGATATTAATAAAAACCTTGGTTGACGAAAATAGGCTTTGCATTAACAAAAATCTTAGTTGACGAATTAAATGCCAGAATAAAATAGGCTTTACGTTTACGTGCATAAGTTATATTAGTTCTCCATGCATCCACCATTGCGAATTAAATATAAATTAATAATTTTTATTTGTGAAAATAATAATCGTTGATTGATGAAAATCAACGATTAAAATATGGTTGTAAAAGATTGTAAATAAAAATAGATTGTAAGTATAACCTTTCGACTTTTTTATCCTTTTGCCCCTCATTAATTGTTTAATAACCATTTTGACCCTTATTGCAAATTATCTACCAATCTGCCCCTCTTTAATCAACTAAATTGAATATTTAATCGATTAAATGGTCAAATGAAGATTTAATCGATTAAATCTTCAACTTAATCGATTAAATCTTCCTCTTTATCAGAAGAACAACCTTATGCATGGGAGATTTAGTCGATTAAATAGGGAGATTTAATCGACTAAATCTTCAAGTCAACGATTTTTGCCTATTTTGACCATTTAATCGATTAAATTTTTGGCTTAATCGATTAAAGAGGGGCAGATTGGTAGATAGTTTTGAATGAGGGGCAAAATGGTTATTAAATAATTAATGAGGGAAAAAAAGGTGAAATAGCCATAACCTTTCCCATAAAAAATTAAGAAATGCAATGGAATTAATAAAAAAAATAAAATCTAATATAATTTTCTCAATCAGTAAAACATAATATAATTTTTAATAAACATTCAAAATTAATAAGCAACAACTTTTTTTCACCAAAAAAAAAAATAAGCAACAACTTTTCACATATCTAAAGTTATACTAGTCCTCCATACATTAACATTTTCTCGTTCATGCTCTTGGGTTTCAGCAATGGGTTGAAAATTATCTTCTTTATTTGGTATCAAATCTATGCATATATGATTATAAGATCCAATTTTTTTAATTATTAAAATAATTTTAAATTTGCATATAGAACCTAAAGTTCATAATAAAATCTCGTTTGAAATTTTTTGCAAAACCTTGGGATTTTTGTTCTACGTGATGATAGTTTTATAACCATATATCATATGCATATTTTCATTGAATACTCTAAGAAAATTTCGAATATGAATTTTTGGGTTTTTTTTTTCAATCAATACATTAAAACCTTAAATTTATTTGGGGCTTTTAAAGAACAAGTTTTTAGTTATTTATTGACACAAAAATTGTTTGAAATCATTTCTTATAATGAAGGAATTTCGTTCATAAATGTATTATTACGAAATATATGGTTCATATTATGAAAGTATCAATCTTTGTTTAAATTGATATTGTTTCATTGATGTAAAACAAAAATTGGTTTGAGAGTTTTAGTTCCCCTAATATTTTTCCACTGTTTTATGTTGCTTTTAATACAAAAATCACACCTTTTTGTGTCAAGAAAAATCGTGACCCATAGTTTGAAAATTTACTTTTTAAACTTCCAAAGTTTCTAAAAAATGACTCAAAAATATGTTGCTTTTGAGATAGATTATATTAAAATCTCGTTGATTTGTTATTTCTGGGTTGTTTTGTGATGAAAAAATCACTCAAAAATATGCTATTTTTGAGTTTTGACAAAGCTTTCATGGCGGGACCCAATTTTGAGCCGGTCAACCTGCCAAAAAGAATAAGAAAATATTGCAATAGAGAAATCTCAATAAATTCTAGGGGTTAGGATTAGATCGTGAGAGAGACATCCTATTTATATTTCTTACTAAAAAGTCTCACGAAATCCGCACCAATAGAAAATTCATTAAAATTGTCAGATTTTTGAATACCACAAGATTGTTTGTCCATTGTTTAAAATCTTGATTGAATACCAACGGATTTGGACGGATTCTAAAATAATATTTTAAAATCCTAATTAAATACCACTGACTTTTTTTTTCAATCTATTAAAATCATAATTAAATACCAATGATTTTTTTGTCCAAAAATAATCCGTTAAAGTCTTTTGAAATCTCAATCCAATACACCCCTGAATATATCATTATCTGAGCATGGTCTCTTAAAAAATAATGAATGGCTAGTTTTTTCATTTACGTAGAAATTACCTGCAAAACTACATCAAACTCGCATATTAAATTAATACATAATTAATTAATCTAATTAATAAAGAATAAAAATAATGCTATAACTCTTTAGACCATTAAGGAGAGGCATCGTTTGCTATTCCATATACATCAAAGACAAATATATCATATATCATACAATAAGTAGTTGCAATGTAGTAGGCAAGAATAAACATTATACCTTCTACCAAAATAAGGAATAGACTATGCTAGCTACTTCCAAATTACACATTTTCTAATACATGCACAACATCCTCAACTCTTCCTTATTCTTATATATTGTATTCATTAAACGCATTTGATGTATATTAACATCAAAGGCATCACTTTATATTAATTTAAGATGACAGAATCAAAATATATAAGTACATAAAAATCAAAGAAAGAATGATTATAATTAAATAATTAAATTACCTAAACATAAGGAGTATATATATTCAACTATAAGAGGGTAGCATTATAGGAATGCTAATAATAATAAGAAAAAATATTTATAATTTTAAATACAAATATTAGTTGTTTCTTAACTCCCTCTCTCCTTCACAAAATAAAAAAGAGAGAGAAAGATAAAGTACTGTTAAAGAGGGAGAAAATAAAAAATTATTATAACACAATTATTTCATTTAAAATAAGGAAAATATTATACTTACAATATACTTTTATTTATAATTTTTTTCAATCATATTATAACCGTTAATTTTCGTCAATCAATGATTATTATTTTCACAAATCAAATTCATTAATTAATATTTAATTTGTAATGAATGATAACCATTAATTGACAAAAATAAATAATTAAGATAAAATTGTAAATAAAATAAGTTGTAAGTATAATCTTTTCTTTAAAATAAATTATATCTTTTAGAATGATAAATGTTTTTCCTTACTACTAATAATAATAATAATAATAATAGTTAAGTCGTAAATTAAATGATGTTACAAAAACAAACAAGGAACAAACGTAATCTCAACCATACGGGGTTTTTGATTTTGCCACGGAGGAATGAGTAAAGTAGACGCAAGAGGCAGAAGGCATGTGAGTCCGTAACGGAAGCAGAAAACGATGTCGTTTAGCAGGCCCACGTTTTAGGTTGAAATCGTGTGGATCAATCAATTTTTTATTTTTATTTTCCTCTTATTATTCTAAATCTTTGGTCCCAAAATACCCAAAAATTTTTTCTCTCAAAAACAAAATTTTCTCTCAAAATCTCGCCGTTTCGCGTGAGCCAAGCGCATCGCCTTTCTGCCCAAACTCTCTCTCCGTTTCTTTCTCTCTCTATCTTTTCCTTTTTTGTTACCCGTTTCTCTCTCATCATCGCGATTCGTTCGCACCAAATCTCTGGATTTTCGCTATTTCCAGAGCGATCGATCTCGATGACACGAACAGAACCCGAAGAACCCTTCCTTTCTCTGCGCCAATAATTCGGAGAAAAAGAGGGAAAAGAGAAAAAGAAAAAATTTCTTCGCCACTTAAGCCCTAAAAAAGCCCTTACTTCTTCTTCTGCTTCCTTCGATCGGTTTCCCTTTTTGCCATGGCGGATTGGAGGAGGAGATCTGCGAGGACGAGCTTGATCTAGGGTTTTTTTTCCTCCGATTGTTCGAATCTAGGGTTTGGAGGTGTGGGAATTCGATTTCGAATTGATGTTTCTTTTCAGGGACGAAGCTTGGATCGACTCGGAAGATGGAGGATTATGCATGGGTTCGGTGGTGAGGAGTGGAAACAGAGCCGGCACATGTGGCCTGTACCTGACAACGCGACCACTGTAGCGCCCGATTCTTCACCGTCTGAATTTATATGCAAAGTATATAAATCGAAAAATCCCCAATTATTTTTCATCAATTTTTTCCCCTTTTCGCTACGTTTCGTTGTGTCGATGAAATTTACACGCGCTTTTTTTTTTTTCACTTCTCTATTTATTGCTCAATTTTTGGGTTTTGAACAAAAAAAATCTAAAACTTAATTAAAATAATTGGGTAGTCTTTGTTTCCATTTTGACCTAATTTTTTCCTAATAAAGTTCTTTATCGTTTCTGGGTGTTGGTTCTACCTTATTTTGAGGGATTTTCAATTGTGTTCTGTGGATATTCCAACGGGACGTTATTTTTTTAATATATTTTTGGGCGTAGGGAATTTTGGGGTCGGCGTTATGTATTACTCTCTTGCAGTTTGGCGATTGTTTGGGCTTGTGATGCTCTCTTGTTTGAATGTTTTTCGGGTTTCATCCGTGTTTGTGTAAATAAAGTGCTCGCTCAGATTTGAGAGAAATCTAGAATTGGGTTCCGTGTTGTATTGGTTTGGAATTGTTGTTGTTGATTTGAGAGAAGTGCTTTTTTTTTTTTGCTGATTCGTTGCTGTGGTTTTTTGGTTTTGGAGCTCTTTTATGACTGTGTGTGGTTGTTGGATTGATTGATTGCTACATTTTTTACTGGCCTTCATTTAACTCTGGTTTTGGGTGAAATCGGGAGGATGATTTTACTGTTTGTCTGCTGTATTAATGAATTAATTGATAAGCAAAGAACGTAGACAGTTGTGTTGAATGGTTTTGTTTCCCATTGAAATTGTTTATTTGTAGATGTGCTTCGGTTCTAGATGCCTTAATTCTTTCTTTGTTTTTTCTCATATTTCTTTTGTTTAATTAACCGGGAAGATAAAAAATAATGGAACATTATTTTAATTTCAAAGATTACAAGACATCTGAGTGGTAAATGTTGAATAAAAATTCCAATGCTCGATGGCCTTCTTACCAAAATTTATTTTAAAATATATGTTAATCCTGTTTGTATGTTTGGTGTCTGATTCTAAAATTCTATTTATATATGATTTTCATCATTTCCCTCTCTTAAAGCATTTGCGGTTTGCAATGGTTACTATCTGCATCTTATTGGTTTATCTGATATTGTTACTGCTTATTCGATTAGTAATGTTTTCTAATAACTTTATTTTCCCCCTCTCAAGTTTTGCTCAAATATATTCTGATTTCTTATAAACCATTGTTTTTGGCCAATAATTGTGGAGTAATGTTTTCTAAACTTTATTTTCCCCCTCTCAAGTTTTGCTTCAAATATATTCTGATTTCTTATAAACCATTGTTTTTGGCCAATAATTGTGGATTTACTTAATAATCATTCATGCTCATTGTAGGATGGACGCAAGATTCGTGTTGGTGATTGTGCACTTTTCAAGCCACCCCTGGATTCCCCTCCTTTTATAGGAATAATTCGCAAGTTAACCTTTGATAAAGAAGAAAGTCCAATTTTAGAAGTTAATTGGCTTTACCGACCTGCTGATTTGAAGCTTGCTAAAGGGATTGTAGCTGCCCCAAACGAAGTCTTCTACTCCTTTCACAAGGATGAAACACCTGCTGCATCATTATTGCATCCGTGTAAAGTCGCATTTCTTCATAAAGGTGTTGAACTTCCTTCAGGGATATCCGCATTTGTCTGTAGACGAGTGTATGACATTGACCACAATTGTTTATGGTGGCTAACTGATAAGGACTACATTAATGTCAGTTTTCAAATACCTTTACTTTTCTATCACATAATTTTTTTTATAATGATTTTACTGATAAGTTTGTGATCTGTCAATGGATTCAGGAACGACAGGAAGAAGTTGACCAGCTATTAGACAAGACAAAACTAGAAATGCATGGGGCAGTGCAGTCAGGAGGCCGTTCTCCAAAACCATTGAATGGTCCAACATCAACAACACAGTCATTGAAATCTGGTTCTGATAACGTTCAAAATAGTTCTTCCTTTGGTGCACAGGGTAAGGGAAAAAAGAGAGAGCGGGGTGATCAGGGGTCTGATTCATCTAAAAAAGAGCGGTTATTTAAGGTAGAAGGTGGAGATTCTGGTCAATTTAAACTGGAGAGCATGTTAAAGTCTGAGATTGCTAAAATTACTGATAAAGGTGGGCTTGTGGACTTTGAAGGAGTTGAAAGATTGGTACAGCTCATGCAACCTGAAAGTGCTGATAAAAAAATAGATTTGGCTGGGCGAATAATGCTTGTTGATGTAATAGCACTTACGGAACGGGATGAATGTCTTGGATGGTTTGTCCAGCTCAGGGGTTTGCCTGTGTTGGATGAATGGCTTCAGGAGGTCCATAAGGGCAAAATTGGCGATGGTAATATGCCTAAAGAAAGTGATAAGTCTGTTGAAGAATTTTTGTTAGCTTTACTTCGTGCATTGGATAAGCTTCCTGTGAACCTTCATGCACTACAATCCTGTAATGTTGGAAAATCTGTTAATCATTTACGCACCCACAAAAATTCTGATATTCAGAAGAAAGCTAGGGGTTTAGTAGACACATGGAAGAGACGCGTGGAGCATGAAATGAATATGACTGATTCAAAATCTGGTTCAACCCGTGCTGTTTCTTGGCCCGCAAAACCAGCTTCTGATGTTTCTCACCTTGGAAATAGGAAAACAGGAGGGTCCTCTGAGAGTGTTGCAAAGAGCTCTGCAATTCAATCCTCAGCGTCTAAAACTTCCCAAGCTAAGCTTAATCCTGGAGAAGCACTGACCAAGTCCTCTTCATCACCTGGCCCAATTAAATCAATGACTACCACAGGGAACAGTAACTCAAAAGATCAAAACATTAAAGTCTTGGTTGGAGCTTCTACGTCAGATCTTCCATTGACTCCTATCAAAGAGGAGAGGAGCAGCAGTTCTAGTCAATCTCAAAACAACAGCTTATCTTGTTCTAGTGAACATGCAAAAACTTTTGGTTCTTGTAGGGAAGATGCAAAGAGCTCTACTGCTGTGTCGATGACTGTGAGCAAAATCACTGGTAGTGCATCTCGAACTCGGAAGTCAAGCAATGGTCTTCATGGGGCTAGCATTACTGTGGTTCAGAAGGAACATGGCTCTGCAAAAAATTCAACTAGAAATTCACCTTCCGATAAAGTTTCACCATCTCAGTTGTCCCAAGAAAAATCGCCTGATCGGGCCCTTACCGATCAAGGGAATAATCAGCGACTGATTCTCAGGTTACCAAATACGGGTCGCAGTCCTTCAAGGGGAGCTAGCGGGTCCTCTTTTGAAGAGTCTGCCATTCCATGCGGGAAGGCTTCACCTTCTGCTGACAAGAATGAGAATCAGGACAGAAGAGTGAAAGCTAAATCTGATTGTTTGCAGACTCATGTTGCGTCAAATATAGTAAATGATGCATGCGATGCAAATGAAAATTTGTCGGGTTGTGATGAAGGTAAGGGCTCTCCTATTGGTGATGAGCGGTGCAGGGCTAATGAAGATGGTGATAAAGTTGCAGAAGCATTGAAACCAACTAGTTCTCCATCTGGATTTGTTTCCAGATCAGGGCAGACTTATGATGCTTCTTTAAGCCCCATGAATGCATTAGTTGAAAGCTGTGTGAAATTTTCTGAAGCAAGTGCCTCTGTGTCCCCTGGAGATGATGGGATGAACCTACTTGCTACTGTGGCTGCAGGAGAAATATCCAGATCTGGAAATGTCTCTCCTCTGGCTTCACCAGAGAGGAAGTCTTCCACTGCAGATGAATCAAGATCAGGCAACGATGGCAAGTTAAAACATTTTTCTGAAGCAGCTGTTCACTCTGTCGCACAATCTGACGATGGGGCTATTGCAGAGCATCCTTTGAGTACTGTTGATCCATTGCAATTCAAGAATGATTCAAGGCATCCTATCGCGACAATATCACATGATTTCTCTGGAGATGGTGAAGGCATTTCATCCAGTTGTATAGATAAAGCTGGTGATGGCAGAACTCAAATGAATTTCTCCGCTACGGATTTGTTGCAGAATGCTGAAGGTCCATGCTTATGGCCTGAAACTAGAGAGGATGCTTCTGAATCTATATTGCCTTCTATGAAGGAGAGTCATGTAGAATCTGGAGGAGCGAACCTTTTCCATGAGCAAACGGAATTGGGAAGTCAATGGGCTAAAGGCAGTTGTTCAGACTCTAAATTAAAGCCAAGGACTTCCTCTTTGGATGATGATCAGAAGGCTGAACACATAGATGAGGGAATTACGGATAAAGAGAAAATGTCGGTTTCGAAAGATGTTGCAAGTGTAAAGATCCAAAAGGAAGTAGGTGAAAAATCAACTGAGTTATCTTCGGTGGTAGGTAATGAGAACCAGATTAATGAAGAGAAAGTGTCAGGTCCTGGTATATCAGTGCAAAAGGCCTCTTCAGTTGCAGAAAACTGCGAGTCTACAGATATAAAAAAGGAGGATGTGACATCACCTGCTTCTGGTAATGCTTTGATGGTATCCAAGAATGAGAAGGCTGATGACATGAACTTAGTTGAGATTGAGCCTGATGAAAAACGAATGGATCTGGATTCGGCAGTTTCAGATGGTGTTAGTGAATGTGTTGAAGAGAATTTGGGTAAAAAAGAGGCTATTTGTCCCTGTTCTGGCTCATCATTTCAACCAGAGTTGCCAACATTTCCTGGGAAAGAGAATGCAGTGCCTAAAACATCTGATTGTAACCTAGATGGAATTGAATCTGAGGTTGCAGAAGAGCGGCATGCATGCCTTGCGGCTGGGTCCGATGCAGCAGTAAAACTGGACTTTGATTTAAATGAGGGCTTTCCTCCTGTTGATGATGTAAGCCAAGGGGAGATTGTTAGACAGGTAGACCCTATCACATCATCTGGAGTTCATGTTCCTTGTCCATTGCCTTTTCCCATTTCCTCCATCTCTAGTGGCTTCCATGCTTCAATTACAGTGGCATCCGCTGCCAAAGGGCCGGTTGTTCCCCCAGAAAACCCATTGCGTAGCAAGGGGGAACTTGGATGGAAAGGGTCAGCTGCTACAAGTGCATTTCGGCCAGCTGAACCTAGGAAAAATGCTGAGACACCATCAAATACTAGTGATATTCCTTCTGTTGATGCCACTTCTATCAAGCAAGGCCGCCCTCCTTTAGATTTTGATTTGAATGTGGCAGATGAAAGAAGTTTTGAAGATGTAGTTTCCCGTGGTCCTTTAGAATCTGCACCACCTGATCGTGGCACTGTGGGGCTAGATCTTGATTTAAACAGAGTTGATGAGACTCTTGAAGCCGGGTCTTTCTCTATGTGCAAAGTGGATTTTCCTTCATTATCAAGTAAGCCTTCATTGTCCAGTGGGTTATCTAATGGTGGAAGTGTCTCGAGAGACTTTGATTTGAATAATGGACCTGGCATTGATGAAATTGGAACTGAAGTCCCACTGCGTAGTCAGCAGATGAAAAGTGCGGTACCATATCCATCTGCTGTTCATGGCACAAGAACAAATAATGCTGAATTTGGAAATTATTCTTCATGGTTTCCTCCAGGCAATTCTTATTCTGCAATTACTGTCCCGCCACTTCTGCCTGGTAGGGGGGAGCAGAGTTATGTTGCTGGTGCCGGGGCACAGCGGATCATGGGTCCTGCTGGTAGCTCACCGTTTGGTCCTGAAATCTACAGGGGCCCAGTGCTTTCATCCTCTCCAGCTGTTGCTTATCCACCTACTACACCCTTTCCATATCCAGGATTTCCATTTGACACCAATTTTCCATTATCTTCAAACTCCTTTTCTGGTTGTTCAACAGCATTTATGGATTCGTCAGCTGTGGGTGGGCTTTGCTTTCCTACCATGCCCTCACAGGCAGTTGGGCCTGGTGGTGTTGTCTCATCAACATATCCTCGTCCCTATCTTATGAATCTTCAAGGCAGTACAAGTAATGTGATGCCTGACAGCAGAAAATGGGGAAGTCAAAGCCTGGATCTGAATTCAGGCCCTGGTGGTACAGATACAGAGCGGAGAGATGATAGATTACCTTCAGGATTGAGGCAAATGTCTGTCCCCAATTCACAAGCCTTGATGGAGGAACACTTGAAGATGTTTCAGGTGGCAGGTGCATTGAAGAGAAAGGAACCTGATGGTGGTTGGGATGGAGCCGATAGATTCAGTTACAAGCAACCCTCATGGCAATAGGACCATTGAAGAGGAGGCGAACCCCTTGTAACTCCTCTGACCCTCTCAAGACTTTAATTGTATTTTTCAACTCCTTGATTCCAACGATATATAGATTGCTTGCCTTTTCGAGCTTGAATTTTAGTTTGTGGTACTCATTTTATGTCTCCGTGAGCCAAACTAGTTCTCAATTGCTCCATGGGTTTACTGTGTACCACCAAGCATATTTTAAAATGGGCAATCTTCATGTATGTTAGAAGCTTCTCTTTAGTCTGATATCTGTATTTGTGAAAAAATAGTGCTATCTATTCTAAAATTTCTGTCTGTATTGAGCCAGTTTGTTTTGACTGGTTGCATGTTCTGCCTTGCATTTTCCTTTTTTAATCGAATGAAGTTTAAAGCTTGTAATGTATTGAAGCTTAACTGTTCCGGCCCTTCCGCAGCTTTTGTGGAAAATGTCAGAGAATTGGGGATATTATGAGTGTTGAGCCATGGACAATGAGCAGAGATGCTACCCTTGCTGCTGATATACCTCTTCATTTCTGACTTCATAAAGCGATCAGAGCCTCTATGCACTTGTTTTGTATGAATCTGCTCCTCCCACAGATTGTCGCTTGCAGATAAGTTTTTCCTGTGTAGATATCTAACTGAAACAGCAGGTGTGATGATGCCGCCTAGAATCAGAGAAGTTGGCAACCAGTGTTTTGACTGTGACTATTCTGCAACAGCATCAGCCCAATCCGTTCTCGAGCATTTGGAAGGAGAGGATTGGATGTATGAACTGGCTAGACTTGAGGCCTTGTTTGGCTTCTTTAAATGATTTTTTTCCCCCAACTTTTGTTACATATATAGCTATTTCTGTAGTAGTCTTGACTTCCGAATTTTGTTACTTATCACATTCTGGTTATTTATATATGCACAGGTTAGCCATCATGGCCAATGTGTCACTTCTCTCATTGTTATGGTCGAGCTCTCGCATCGTTTTCTTTTGGGTTTCATAACTGGAATTGGTTTCTAGTGTCCCCTCGAATTCTTCCTTTGTTATAAAGGCGTGGGTGGGTGCCGTAATATTTCTAGCGAGAACAAACATTCATTTGATTAAGTTATTCTTGCAATAACTGGGTGTATCTTGTGTGTTTTATTTGAAGCTCATGAGTTGTACTATGTCAGCACAGCTAAGCATCATATGCCATTGCTTTGTGATATAGTTGACGTGAGCTCTTCTTCTAAGCAGCAATTTCTCTGTAGCCTAGTGTGATTTATAAGAAAAGTCAACAAGTAGTAATAATGTTAAGAAATGAACAGGGATGGCTTCATGTTGTTTGGGATAGTTATTACGATCTTTTTTGGTTTGTTTTTGAAAACAAATTTGCGTTTTTAAATTAATAAAATGATAAAACCTGTTTGGAATGGTATTTTCTAACCGTAGTTTTTAAAATCAAATGACACAATAAGGTTGGTCTAAAACGAAATTATGAAAACATCTTGGAAATGTATTTGCACTCAGCTCCCAGAACGATAAGAAAATACGCAGGACAATCTTCTCATCGTTGGCGGGCTTGTTGTTACATCAAACTCACTGTAAAAGCTAAAATACTAATGTAGTTATATCAAATAAGGGTTCGTTTTTTCTGCAGTTACTGCAGATTATCTGCAGTAAGCCTAATACGACATTGTTTTGAGGCGAAAATCATGGTGTTTTTGTAATTTTAATTTATTTCAGGGTTATAATAATTTTTATATTTATAACTTTTTAAGATTTTAATACCAAAACGACGTCGTTTTGGGAATAAATGCAAATAACCTATCTGCAGAAACATTTTTCCCATCAAATAAATTGTACAATCTTAAATAGATATGGGGATAGATTATTTTATCTAATACTTTTCTGCCTGATCTAATGGTGTTTTAGAGTGGTAAACAAAGATAGGTAGAAAAAATGATAAATAGAATAATCTATCCTATAGGGGACATGATCCGTTTACAAACTTTTTTTGCAATTACACTAATGTAGGACCGGTCGTACATTGTGCGATTAATGTAGGACCGGTTCTACATAGTGTAGTTTGTAAAAGTTTGTAAACAAAAAAGTTTATAAATATAACCTGCCCATCCTATATATATGTTGCTTCATGGTTATTTTAATTTTTGTTCTCTCTCTGCGTGAGTTCAACAACTCTGTTCTTTAAAAATTAAATGAAACCACTTCCAAGAAGTTTGAGTTTAGCATTAGCACGTTATAACTTAGAAATACCTAACTTCAATAACTATAGTAGCCTTAGTCCATCCCCTTAGTCGTATAGAGTTTATGCTTGAAAAAGAGTAGTAGAAAGTTCATGGGTTTGGAAATTGAAATGTTGCTTCCTGATGGTTCTACTTTTTTGTTTTTTTTTTTAACCTTTTTAAATTTTAATTTCTTTTTACTGTTAATTAATTGTTAATTGGTGAGCCTTGAGGATCCTTGCCAAATATCCCAAGAAGTAGTGCTGGCAAAGCCTACACAAAATTCACTTAATAATAAAGAGTACTGTATTAAAAAAAAGTGAGTAATGTTAATATTTTTCATGCCTTAAATTATAAAACAGCAAGGGTCAGCCTTCCACTTTTGTATAATGCCTGATGGTTTTCTAATTGGGTCACCATCTTGCATTGCTACTTGGTCAAGTTGAAGTTGGTGTTGATTCAAGTTTTTTTTTTTTTTTTTTTTGTATTTAACATTTTATTGGTAATTATGATATTTGGCAAGAAACTGTGTTTTTAAATGTTTCCCTACTTCTATGTGTATACTTAAAAGGAATCAACGTAAGTTTATCTGCTGCGTAAAATGGGTTAGTAGTATCACTTCAGTGTTATTACTCTGCCACTCTGGACTAAGACTATTAAAAGGGATCTTCTTGTTACACATTGAGAGAAGTGACACATTGGCCATGATGGCTAACCTGTGCGGCTTTTCGTTTTTCTTTTAACATGATATCGTAAAGTTTTCTATACACATAATATTTTGTAGAGTCTGCATTTTTTGAAGCAAAAAAAAAAACTAACTAAGGCACGGAAAACAAATAAGTAACATGACACAATCACTCTTCATACAACATAACTCTTATAAAACCCGTATAAATAACCAGAATGTGATAAGTAACAAAATTCGGAAGTCAAGACTACTACAGAAATAGCTATATATGTAACAAAAGTTGGGGGGAAAAAATCATTTAAAGAAGCCAAACAAGGCCTCAAGTCTAGCCAGTTCTTCATACATCCAATCCTCTCCTTCCAAATGCTCGAGAATGGATTGGGCTGATGCTGTTGCAGAATAGTCACAGTCAAAACACTGGTTGCCAACTTCTCTGATTCTAGGCGGCATCATCATCACACCTGCTGTTTCAGTTAGATATCTACACAGGAAAAACTTATCTGCAAGCGACAATCTGTGGGAGGAGCAGATTCATACAAAACAAGTGCATCAGAGGCTCTGATCGCTTTATGAAGTCAGAAATGAAAGAGGTACATCAGCAGCAAGGGTAGCATCTCTGCTCATTGTCCATGGCTCATCACTGTATAATATCATCCAACTATGTATTAAATTATGTACTTTCCAAAATATATTGATCGTGACATGAAAAGATTTTTTTCCCCCATCAAAATGAGAAAAAAAGGGACCCTTAAACTTTAATTATAAAGGATTGCAATGTATAATATACTAAAGCTAGCTTTTATATTTATGGGACCATTAATTTCATGTTGTATTTATTTGTTTCGGTCTACCCTGGAGAGTGTGTTGCTACGCAACATAAGCTGGTAGTCTTGGATGTTCGGTTCAACAAAGTACGTACAATGAAGAAGAGGGCTCAGAATCCAAGGATAAGGTGGTGGAAGCTTAAGGAGGGAAAAGAGAGAGAGTTCAATGATAGAATGTTGCACGAAGGACCTTGGGAGTTTGATGGAGGAGTAAATGCAATATGGAATGAGATGGCTAAGTGTATTCAAAATTTGGGAAGGAGGGTGTTGGGAGAAAGCAAAGGAAATGGATTTCATACAAAGGAAACATGGTGGTGGAATGGAGAGGTGCAAGAGGCAATTAAACATAAGAAGGAGTGCTTTAGATCTTTGCATAAAAGTCCCAATGAAGAGAACCTGCAAAAGTTTAGATTGGCGAGAAAAAATGCAAAGAAAGCAGTGCGAGAAGCGAGAGGCAAGATTTTCGACGAGTTGTATAAAAGTCTTGGGAGCAAGGATGGTGAAAGAGGTATTTATAAACTTGCAAGGATAAGGGATAAGAAAAGTAAAGACCTCACTCAAGTTAGATGCATTAAGGATGAAAATCAAAAACTTCTGGTGAGCGATGAAGATGTAAGTGAAAGATGGTTGAAATACTTCAACAAGCTGTTTAGTGGGGATAGAAATACAAGCGAGGTGGACTTAGAGGACGCGTATGATGATATGAATAGAAGATTTGTACGCAGAATTAATACACGTGAAGTTAAGGAGGCTTTAAAGAGGATGAAGACTAATAAAGCCTTGGGGCCTGATGGTGTCCCTATTGAAGTGTGGAGAGGCCTGGGGGATGTGGCAATAAAATGGTTGACCAATCTTTTTAATAAGATTCTCCAGACGAATAAGATGCCTGATGTATGGAAGAAAAGTATGATTGTGCCTATCTACAAAAACAAGGGAGATATACAGAATTGTTCAAACTATAGAGGTATTAAGCTAATGAGTCATACTATGAAGCTGTGGGAGAGGGTTATTGAACATCGCTTGAGGAGAGATACCAAGGTTTCTGTAAATCAATTTGGATTTATGCCAGGAAGATGTACCATGGAAGCCATTTTCTTGATGCGACAACTAATGGAAAGATACCGATAAAAGAAGAAGGACTTGCATATGGTGTTCATAGACCTTGAGAAAGCATACGATAGGGTTCCAAGGAAAGTTTTATGGTGGGTCCTGGAGAAGAAAAAGGTTCCATTAAAGTATGTAAAGGCAATCAAGGATATGTATGATGGGGCTACTACATGTGTAAAAGCTTGTAACGGATCATCAAGTTATTTTCCTATCACGGTAGGTGTACACCAAGGGTCGGCTCTAAGTCCTTACCTATTTGCCTTAGTTATGGATGAACTAACAAAAGATACTCAAGAGGAAGTGCCATGGTGTATGCTTTTTGCAGACGATATTGTGCTTATTGATGAGAGCAAGGAGGGTGTTAATAGAAAACTTGAATTGTGGAGAAGCACATTGGAATCCAGAGGATTCACTTTAAGTCGAAGCAAGACTGAGTATCTGAAGTGTGAGTTTTCTCTGGTACAAGATGAGGACCAAGAACCTGTGCATCTAAATGGTCAAGAGGTACCCAAAAAAAATGCTTTTAAATACTTGGGCTCCATTTTACAAAATGGTGGAGAGATTGATGAGGATGTAAATCACAGAATCAGAGCAGGGTGGATGAAATGACGTAGTGCATCTGCATTTTTGTGTGACCGCAAAATTCCCCTGAAGTTAAAAGGAAAATTCTATAAAACGGCAGTACGACCGACAATGCTATATGGAGCGGAATGCTGGCCAGCACATAGGCAACATGAGCATAAGATGGGAGTAGCAGAGATGAGGATGTTAAGGTGGATGTGTGGGTACACAAGGATGGATAAGATAAGAAATGAAGATACTCGACGAAAGGTCGGAGTAGTACCGGTAGCCGAGAAGATGAGAGAACATAGATTGAGGTGGTTTGGGCACGTGGTGAGAAGACCCATGGATGCTCCTGTAAGAACAGAAGTTTGTTACCAAGAGCTAAACACAAAAAGAGGCAGAGGTAGGCCGAAGCTTACTTGGGGAAAAGTAGTAAAACAAGATTTAATGGAGTGAGATATAGATTGGCGGACAGTATGTCTTAGAAAGGAATGGAGAAAAGCTATAAGTATGGTGGAGGGTTAGACCCGCTGTTATTCCTATGTTCCAGATGGTCCTTTTTTAGTTCTTTTCCCCTTCATTTCCCCCACTTCTTCTTGTCCCTTTCTTTTTTACTTTTATTTATTTATATATACATATATTTTTATTTCATTTTATTTTATTTTATTATTTTATTTGTGTATTTTTATTTATTTATTTATTTATTTATTTTTTATTTTTTATTTTTTTTGTTACTTTTTTTCAACCGTTTTGTATCTTTCATGTGGGTTCATCTACCACCGACCCCAATTAATTTGGGATAAAGGTGTTGTTGATGCTGATGTTGATGTTGATTTATTTGTTTCGGTAATTTTAAGGGATTAATTACATGTGTATATGCGGTGTAGGAGGACAACGACGAAAGTGCCATATTTTTTGCAAAGATTACCTGAATGCCATGTTTTGTAATTTTATTTACAAAATGCCACGTTACCTAACTTGCTATAACACCTGGCGAGTTAGGTGTTAACACGTGGCAAAAGGTGCATGACCACGTAAGCTACTACGTAGTGCATTGAGATTACGTGACTCAAACATGCTATGCAGCATAACATGTGATGTGTGTGTAATAAAATAATTTAAATTAATATAAAATTAAACTAAAATAATTAACAAACATAATTACATTTAGTTCATTAAAACTCCTAAATTAAATTACATTATTTAACGGTTCAAAAAAAAATTAACTTAACTTAAACTAAATCAAATGAAATTAATTAACACTCCTAAAAATAATTAATTAATAGTTGTAAAATAATTTAAATTAATATAGACTTAATTAAACTAAAATAATTAACAAAAATAAATTATATTTAATTCACTAACTCTCCTTAATTAAATTAAATTACTTATCAGTTCAAAAAAATTAACATAACTTAAACTAAATTAAATGAAATTAATTAACACTCCTAAAAACAATTAATTGATAGTTATAAAATAATTTAAATTAATTATTTTAATTTAATTCAGTCTATATTAATTTAAATTATTTTATAACTATTAAATAATAGGAGCGTTAATTAATTTCATGACACACACGTTATGATGTATAGCTCGTTTGCCACATGTCAGAATTGCCACGTGTCATAAGCGGCCTACGTGGCCATGCACTTTCTATCATGTGTCAACACCTAACTCGCTAGGTGTTGTAGCGAGTTAGATGACGTGACATTTAATAAATTTTTTACAAAGTGTGGCATTCAGCTAATTTTTTTTAAAAAATGGGACACTTTGGCATTGTCCCTAGTATAGGAGTACCATATAATTGAAGAACAGCTTAGTTTGATGGGAATCAAGGAACAGAAATGGAGTTCACAGAGTGAATTCACAAGAAAGTATGTAGATAACTTTGGGGGAAAAATGGGATGACATGCTTTGTTAATTGTCACATAAAATAAGCTAAATGACATAGCAAACATGAAGACCATATAAAAATATAGAAAATTCTCCCATAGGGTGCGATTATAATATTTACAAAATAGTTTAAATATAAAAGAAAAGAATTGATAACTATAATTAGGATTAAACATTTCTTATGTTGTAGAAAATAATTTTATCTCTTACACGCGCATAAAAGTATGTGAGATCCATATTTTCTTCTTTTTTTTCTTCTCTTCACATGATCTCACATAATTTTATATGTGTATAAAAGATAAAATTATCTCCCATGAAAAATAATAAATCCTTATAATAATAATCAATTTTAATACCATTTTGTTCCTAGAACCAATGGAGATTTCTCAATTACATTATCGAGGATGTCTTGGTAGTTACTATATCAGGATTTCTTTTCTAATACTTTATCCTGAAATAACCCTCTTTTCATATATTAATTTGCAAGGTCAAATTACTCATACTTACCTACTCTATAAGTAACACGTGTACAATTCAAACTGTCTATTTGATTTGCATGATCTTATTCAACTGGACCTTATTTTCAAAGGTCTACTCTAAATGGTGCCTCGTAACATGGTCACATGTAAGGGTTTTTTGACTTCTCACCACGACCCAGGTGTTTGTGGTGCACCATCCACTTAGTGGTAATTGGTAAAGGATACTTTCCTAAATGTTTTTTTTTTTTTTTTATACTACTTTCCTAAAAATTTGAATGTAAAGAGTGTTGGTTAAGGTTGATTGGTGATCAGTTTTATACTAAAAAGAAAACTAAAGGCCTTGCAAACCGTTCCCCACGTTGTCTGCAATAATTCCTATCATATATGTATTTATGTTAAAGAATCCTTAGTAATATATATTTGATTTTATTAATATTTTTTATTATGACATAAAATTTGGTGTTGTTCTTATTAATAAATAGTAAAATTAACATGACATTTTACCGAATATAAAAAAGGGTTCGATTTGTCTGTTGTCACTGCATATAAGTTATCTGCAATAAGTCTATTTTAAGGCGGAAATCATGATATTTTTATAATTTTAATTTATGTCAGAGTTATTATAGTCTTTATAATTATAATTTTTTAATCTTTCAATTCTAAAATGATGTCGTTTGGGAGTAAATGCAGATAACCTTTCTGCATTAATTACAAAAATATTTTTCTGTATAAAAAAAAAAGATAGGTTATTCTACCTACTATTTTTTATGCCTATTTTTGCCTACCACCCTTCAACATCGTTAGATCATAATCTGAGATTCTGATCTAACGATGTTGGAAGGTGGTAGGCAAAGATAGACAGAAAAAATAATTGGTAGAAAAACCTATAAAAAAATTAACATTTATGACATTGGGTTTTGGTGAAGGAAGTTTATAATTTGAAAGGGATGAAGGACCACCAACTATCCTTTTCATAGTCATTATGCATTAAAATCTTGAATAATAAAGTATCATAAAAAAAAGGGTCAAAACGTATAGAGATGTAGATTGTTCGTTGGTCTTTTCCACCACCCTTGATCACAGGGTGAGGCGAGAAAGTGGAGTTAATGTAGCAGTCTTAGGCCTTATTTGAGACCATATTCATTCACCACCAACACAGGCTACGTAAGCATATTTGAAACTATATAAAGTGCAGAAGGGTAGGGATTGCGCCGTGAAATCAGGGTATTTGAGGTTGTCCACACCAAACAAGCTCACATGCATTGCTTAATTCTACGTTGCCACGTGTCATATTCCACGGTGCATCTAACTCCTCAACAATAAAGTACTTGACTGTTTCGGTTCTTTTCCTCTTCTCTTTCACAAGTGTTATGCTCTTTCACACTCATTTTTTTCTCTCAAATACAAACAAATCAATTATACAAATCAGGATATTACTTAGAGTTCATGTATATTTAAGGGATAGATGAAAAACAAAAATAGTAACTATTCCAAGCCATTAATGGTTTTTAATACAATATTTGTGATGTACAATATCATGATGCATGTGTTTCTATGCACAATACTAGTGACTTATAGCAGCCGTGAGATGTGTATTTAGTGACACTTAAAGTGAGAGATGGTTCATAAGATGTGTGTCTGCTTAACTTTTTATTTATATATGGGTTATCTGTAGGGGTGTAAATGGGTTAAATCGATCTACGGAGACCTACTGTCTAGTTTATATTATGTCAGTTTTGGCCTATTATAAATAGTCAAATAGAACAGATCTAGTCTTTTAAAAAAATCTTATTTAAAAAGCAGACCATAGACTTTTTCATATATGATGGGTCTATAGGCTTACAGGCCGACTTAAATTATATTATTTATTTTAGTAATTTGAATAATAAAGTAATATTATTTTAGTTATTTTTTTAATAATTGAATGTTTAACCAGCTTAAACAGGTTTAGGTCAAGATTTTTTGTTTTTTAAATATAGATCATGACAGACTTGTAATTTAGGCAAACACAAGCCTAACAGACCAGGTTAGACCTAAGTTTTTTTTTTTTTTTTACACAGGTCTGACCTACTTAAGTTACAACATAGCCTATTTACACCCTTAGTTACTTGGCTTATTTATAGATGAGTTACCTCATATGAGTAAATTTTTGGACCTCTTAAAAATATTAAGGATCCCGTTCTTAATCTATTGCTATCAACTATAATCAGTATAATTAAAGAATATTTTCTTAATTTTCGCCATAATTATTAATCTTTCTTGAACCTTTTTAGAATGTGACCCGTCTAAGTGCAATCACAAAAAACTTCATAAATCAATTCTTTCCTCTTAATTATCATTAGGATTCTCATGGTTCTCTAACATAAAACCCCACGCTTCCTCCCTCCCAAGTCTCTATCTCTCTCTTGTGTCTGAGGGATGTTGGAGAAGACCATGAAGACTTCTAGTACCCTTTTTAAGGACAAGTTTCATAATCATAGGGAGACATGCCCTAACGTAGGCAAGGGGGTACCTTTTGTTTTGACGTCTCTGTTGATGGCATCCATTTTCTGTATGTTCTTCCTCTATGCTCCAAACCCCATGACCCTCATGCCCAACCAAGGCAGTGACATATTTGAAAATCACTCCCAAAAACAACAACAAGTAGAAGAGCATAACAAGACAACAAAGGTTTCATCATCCAAACCACAAAAAGGTATGTTCCAAAATGATCATACCCTTTATGTTGTTTTTTTTTTTTATTTTCAAATTCTGAATTTTCCTTTCTGGGTTTGCAACAATTAATTTAACACAATTTGTATCATACCCTTTTTTTGTTCAGAACAGAAAACATGTGACTTGTTTAAGGGTCATTGGCTTCCATCTTTAGGAGGGTCATCCTATTACACCAATTCAAGCTGCACAACAATCCCTGATAGCAAAAACTGTTTCAAGCATGGGAGAAAAGACACTAATTTTCTCAATTGGAAATGGAAGCCTGAGCAATGTGAGCTTCCAAGGTTTGATTCCAGAACCTTCCTTCACGTGGTTCAAGGGAAGAAAATGGCATTCATTGGTGACTCTGTGGCCAGGAACCATATGGAATCCCTCTTATGCCTCTTGTCACAGGTTAGTGCCAAATAGTAGTGACTCATAAAATTCCAAAGTTTTTAACTTAACCATTATCAATTCAAGTGCATCCTTCTTTTACACGTTGCACACTCATGTGATGTAACACATAGTTTTGGCTTTATTGAAATTCTTTGCTTGTACAGAAAGGGGAATGTGATTCTTGTAAATAAAAAGGGGAGGGAAGAGGAAAAGCTTGAATGTGATACCATATATGCCATGTTTTCTAATGCACTTTGTTGATATTGAAAGGAAAAACAAAAAATAAACACAAAAACATTAAAAAAGCACTCTAATATGCAATGTGGCAATGTGGCTAGAGAAATTGTAATGTGTGATGAATTCTGAATTGCAAAAAAGTAAAACAGAACACAACTAAAGGCTAAAGCTCAGCCAGGAATAGTTGATCAATTCAGTGACTATTTCCAAATTTAATTCTTGCCAATTTTACTTCTTTTGTTGGTGGGAATTAATTGGGTATTATTTTTTTTGATAGGTTGATTAGTTGTCAAAATGCCCGATGAATATGTTCAATTGAATCCAATTCTTTATTATCAAAACAATCTTTAAGTAAATATTGAAGAATAATTGTATATCTTTTTAATCAATCTTAATAATTTTCTTAATTATTTAAAAGTTTTAGAATTTAATATTCTTCATTAAATTGTCTGATTACTTAAAAAAATATTAGATACTTTTTAGATTTTTAGAATGATTTGTACTTTTAATTTATTCAATATATATATATATATATATATATATATATATATATATATATATATAGGGGAAGTTATATTTACAAATTTTTTGTTTACAAACTACATTATGTACCCCCAGGAGAATACTAGGTTACACTATGTTTCCGGAGAGTACATAATGTAATTTACAAAAATTTATAAAAAAAGTTTGTAAACGGATCCTTCCCCACATATATATATATATATATATATATATATTGGTATAGCAAATATTTATATTTAATTCCTTAACCAGCATCTTCACACACTGATTAGCAAATATTATTATTTAAAAATTATCAAAAGCTTTGAAAATTTTAAAATATTGAATATATTTACTTCTTATTTAATATCTATTTTGAATAATTTTAAGAATACTAAAAAAGATATAATAGTACTCATTCATTGTTATAACTCATATAAAAGTTTCACTGGACCATTCAGTTAGTAGAAATGTGAGAGATGTAAGGAAAATTTACATGTTAAAATACCACAATGCACTCCATCATTTATTCTCATCTCCTTTCTTTACCATTTTTCTGTGAGATCCCTTATGTCCCCCCCCCCCCCCCCCCCCCCCCCCCCCCCCCCTATGAGTCCTCTCTAAATATATATAAAAAAAATTATTAATTATAGCAACACTAGAAAACAAAGAAGACAAAACTAAGGTAGCAACAGATTTTGTTCATACTTTGGTAACTATGTGATCATGAACCTCCAAGTGAGAGTAGGTCGTGATGGGGAAAAATATATATTATAAGAGTATTACATCATTCCATTAAAAAATATCACATATTGTACAACCTAATCATTCCTAGTAGATACTTGTTAGAAATATATTGTAATTAGGATTTTCTTATTTTGTAATTAGGGTTTCTTTATTTTGTATTAGGTCAGATTACATTAGGTTTGGGCTTAGCCCATTAGTCTGTTTATATATTGTACAGCCTTCATCAGTCAATACACACAAAAATATTTCAAATGTTCCTCTCTTTTCTCTTGTTATTTAACAATACTTATAGTTGAAGAAGACTAATCTCAACATACGAAAGTATTAGTCAAAGTATATAAATATTTCTCCATAGGGTGTAAGAAATGCAATATGTGACGCCATGCTGGTGGTGCTGTGACACACACAATCACAGTTAACAAATTATAAGAAAATGAATATCGTGCAAGAATTGAAAAGGAAGAAATGGACAATGATTTTTACTTCTCATGAATTATTTTCCCCTGTACTTATTAACATTAAAATGAATAATCACTTCATGTCTCATAAAGGGGTGTCACAATTTTCCTTGAAATTCTGCAGGAGGAAACTCCAAAGGATATTTATAAGGACTCAGAAGATAGATACGGAACATGGTATTTTCCTAACCATGATTTCACTCTCATGATAGTGTGGAGCAGATTCCTTATAGTAGGAGAGGAAAGAATGGAAAACGGTACAGGGTCCAGCATTTTTCACTTACACCTTGACAAGGTAGATGAAGATTGGGCTAAAGTGCTCCCTGACTTGGACTATGCAATTATCTCAGCTGGACATTGGTTTTTCAGAATGATGTACCTTTATGAAGCAGAAAAACAACTAGGTTGTGTATATTGCAATCAAAAGAATGTAACAGACTACAACATAGATTTCCCATTTAGAGTGGCATTTAGAACAGCATTCAGATACATCAATAGCTGCAAGGAATGTAGGAGAACATTGACAGTGCTGAGGACATTTGCTCCAGCACACTTTGAGAATGGTTTTTGGAACACAGGAGGGCACTGCAACAGGACAGGTCCTAAGAGTGAGGGTGAGGTTGATTTTGGGAGCTTTGATTGGCAATTGAGGAATGTTCAAATGGAAGAGTTTGAGAGAGCAAGGAATGAGGGAATGAAGGAAGGGCATCATAGGTTTGAGTTATTGGATGTAACTAAGGCTATGCTTATGAGACCAGATGGACACCCTGGTGAGCATTGGGGAAACAAATGGATGAAGGGTTATAATGATTGTACTCATTGGTGTTTGCCAGGTCCTGTTGATATGTGGAGTGAGTTATTGCTGGCTGTTCTCAAAAGGGATGCTGAGATGAGTTCTGGATTATAGGCTTAAACATGATATACATATATAGGAATGAATGTCTCTTGTTAGAACAACATGACATAAAAAAATTTAGTCATTCATTGATAGATGAACAATCATAATTTTAATGATAAAACTTGTGAAGAGGTGAAAATAAATATTTTAGTTGTTCATCTATTAATGAATGACTGAGATTTTTCTTGATATAATCACATTAAGAAGAGATATGAGAGAAAGGATACATTTATATTGATAGAGAAAAATAACAAGCTCAAACCACACATTCTTTTCTTTAGTGTATCAAAGTAATAGTATTGTCCTTATGATAGTTTGAAGTTGCTGTAGAGCTTAAAATTGCTGTTGCACTGGTTGCGATTGTAAAGGATTGTGGTTGCTGCGGCATGGATATATTCCCCCCCCAATAATTATTGTTAATCTTGATATATCTTTTATTTATAATATTATATAGGTTTTTACTTGTTTTTGTAAGACTGTGTCATTTCTGTGAATAACTTAAATTAGATTTATAATAAAAATAACAATTATTACTTTAACATAATCAAATGATCACATTAATCAAACAGGTGGATGAGAAAATAAGTAATTAAGTATTTCAAAAAAAAAAGAAAATAAGTAATTAAATTATGGGTTTAATGTCTCTTGTGTCGTAGAGTTGTAAGAGATAATGTCTTTGTGTTGTAGTGTTATAGGAGATAATTTTATCTACTGTATACACATTAAAGTATATGATGCTCATATTTTTTTTTTCTCTTCTCTTCACATGACCTCATATACTTTTATGTGTGTATAAGAGATAATTTTATTTTCTGCATCATAAAAAATATCACACCCATAAATTATACTCTAATTAGAGAAACTCAAATTATTTTATATTTCCCTTTTTCCTTTCATTAGAATATATATATATATATATATATATATATATATATATATATAAAAGATCATCTATATATGTTGGGATAAGTTATTCTACCTATCAATTTTTTTTGCTTACTTTTGCCTACCACTCTAAAACACCATTAGATCAGAATCTTAACTAACATTTATCTTTCTCTCTTTTCTTGAGATTCTGATCTAACGGTGTTGGAATGTCATAAGCAAAAGTAAACAGAAAAAATGATAGATAGAATAACATATCCCATATATGTAATATGATATAAATTATTCTATTTATCTTTTTTTATGTCTATCTTACTTATCAATTTTCAACATCCTTGGATCATAATTTCAAAAGGAAAAAGAAATTGTAAATATTAATTGAGATTATAATCTATTGACATTGAGAAGCGGTAGGCAAGGTAGACATGAAAAAGAGGTAGATAAAATAAAATATTCTATATTATATTATTCATACAAGTAATTTTATTTTTGAAAAAAAATGTGTATCATTTTAAAAAATACAAACTTAAATCTTTCAAAAGAAAAATAAACACAGAGGTGTAGGTCCCCAAAAAATAAAAAATAAAAATGCCTTTTTATATTTATCTCTCTCTTAAAATACGTAAGTTTATTTCGTTTAAAAGAAAACATACTAGCAAGTTCAACTTGTCTTATTCCGAATCCTGTCTATTAAATCCGATTATTTCATTAAACAATATCTTTTGAACACACCCAATATCATTTTGGAATTAGGGTTCTAAAACATTTTCACCAAACCTTTGTTCCATTTCTGCACAGAGTGACTCACTCACAAGTCACAGACACCAGAATTTGGGTGCTGTGTCCCACCCTTTGCTTCCACCTCAACCATTGACACTTTGCTCCCACTATTAATCTCCCAAAGCTCTAACCACTCTTTCCTCTTTGTCTTTTCTTTTTCCATTGCCCCCTTATTCTCTCTCTCTCTCTCTCTCTCTAATGCCAGCTTCATCCTACCCCTTTGAATTCCCTTCACCCCTATCTTCAATTTCGAATCTTTCTTGAAATTTCTTAAGAACCCTTGTTTTCCCTTGGTTTTTGTTGATCTGGGTCGGTGTCAGATCTCAATTTGGAGTATTGCGTGTGTGTGTGTGGTTGAATTCCAATGTCGCAAGGTTACGCAATTGAGCTGTATTTGGACCCTGCGCTAGAAAACCAGGTTTTGAAAGCATGGAACGTTCTTGCTCGGAGACAAATCAGCACACAGTTGATCGAAATGGAATCACGACCTCACATCACACTCTTCTCCACACCATTCATCGACCCTTCAAAGCTTGAGTCACTGGTCAAGACCTTCGCTTCAAAGCAAGAGCCTTTGCCTCTCTCATTCTCTTCAATTGGTACACTCCCTAATGACAACAACATCCTCTTCCTCTCACCAACACCTTCAGTGTCATTGCTTCAGTTTCAGTCACAGCTCTGTGATGCTATCAAGAAGGAAGGCATTGACATTGGTGAAGACTATGCATTCAATTGTTGGATCCCTTATTGTTCCGTTGCTCATCATGTTCCCAAAGCGAGGATGGCTGAGGCTTTCTCTGTCTTAAGGGACTTGAAATTGCCTGTTAATGGTTATGCTACTGACATTGGCCTTGTTGAGTTTTCCCCAGTTCGTGAGCTCTTCTCCTTTGTGCTTGGCAACAATGTAGAACCATGAGGTCCATTTTTACCACCTTACTATTTCTAGTTTCCTTCCCTTGATGTCCTTGCATGTCACTTGGGATTGTAAAGAAACTAGTATTTGCTCATTCTTAGGTTGGAACTTCTTGAGATTTCTAGGTATGTTCACAATATTTGAAGGAATCATTTATGATTAGTTTTGGAAACTTTGGCAGGAGTATAAAGGAAATGTTGTGTGGACATTTGCCTTTTATACTTTTGGCTGGAATAATTCAACTTCTTTCGTATAAAATGGTTCTTCTGGATATATTTGAATCATGTCACTGTTCCTTGGGAAGTGGGGAAAGGGTACGATACTCTGTTATTTTGATTGTTAATCATTTGATGCCATTGTAGCTGTCATAGCTGGCTTCCTTTAGTTTCAAGTTTCTCCTAATATCAACATTTGAGCTATGGTAATACAGAGTGTTTTCAGTAATTCATTTCTCTATATTGTCTTCTTAGCTTAGATGTTAATGATGTGAGTTATTTTTAGGCATTTGACTCTTCTGTCGTGCAAGGGTTCTCGTCTGTAAATTGGGATGAGTACATATTCATGTCTATTTTGTTGTGTTCATCAGATTTAGTGAACATGGCAATGGTCTTTGATTTGCAAATGGTATATAAAAAAGGGATGAAAATGATTATGACACAAAAATCTATTACCAGGACCAATATAGCTTTTATTGCTGTTTTTTATTTGTTCTACGCTTCCTAGCCTTGGCATTGGGTTTCCTGTAAAAGATTTTGTTGTTAAAAGTGTTTACATTATGTTTGATTTATGAAAGCAACAATTTGAAAGTTTGATGATAAAAGTATATGCATTTTCTTTTCACGTGTTTTCAAAATTGTTATATGGTGTTTTTAGACATGCCAACTGTCATTGAATCCAAAGTGTGCATATATTTTTAGTAGTATAGAGTTTCAAACTTGCTCTTGATGAATACATTAATTCAGCCTCTTGGAATTGTGAAATGCAAGCCACCTTCATTTGTGTCAGTTAATTATTGGGGGATTTGAAACTCCATATCTATTAATGTCCTTTATCTAAAAGTAATTGATAGTAATATTGATTTACACCACTTCTTTGTCAATATATGTTACTTCAGCTACATGATAGTGAAAATGTAAAATGCTTGCTCATCATTTATGATAAAGTCTTGCTTGTAGAGGATCAAAGTACTTTAGCTTCAATTTTATATTGCTTCGCATATGTAAAAATAACGTTTTCGTTGGACTAGATCACTAACCATGGTCTCAGAAGACCTTGCCAGTGCATCTGACCTATCCTTCAATTCATTGGCTGATCTTATGTTAGGCTTTTCTGTTTGACTGATTGGGTAAGACTGAAATAGATCAGGAACCATTGCCTAGGCTGGAATGGTTCTATATTTGAGTAAACTGAGTGTGAGTTTTGTATCTCCATAAACTTTGGTGTATTTGGACTCTTTCTTCCTTGTGGATCTTCTCCTTGTTTTCAGTCCCCTAAGCAGAACCTAATTTTTTGTATGTTGAGCTTTATGATGTCTGGTAGTGTTATGAATGGATTTTTGTAACCTATGTGAATCTTGTTAGAGAATATAATACATTAAAAAGGCCCTCACCTAACACCTTAAGGTTTTGGGTTGAAGTGGTTCTTTAACATGGTATTAGAGCTTCAGTGACTATGAGGTCACGAGTTCAATCTTCACCGCCCCCACTTTCAAGTGGAATTAAGAAAAACACAAGGCAGACCAAAAAAATGGGCTTATGCAGCACAAGGCAGACCAATAATGGGCTTGTGTCATATCCACGCTTCAAACCCAAAGGGCTCTTGTGTGAGGGGGTGTGTTTAGAGAATATAATACATTAAAAAGGTCCTCACCCAACATTTTAAGGTTTTGGGTTGAAATGGTTCTTTAACATAATACTGACTAATGCTACTTACATAAGTGCATAAATGTTGATGTGGCTGCATTAGAATAATGATTTCAAATAGAAGGTACCCCTTAAACTTTGTCCCCCCACCCCCTCCCTTTTTTCTTCTTTCTTCAAACCCGGATGAAAGACATTGTGACTTTGGAGGGGTTGTGGTGGGACAGATTGTGTAGGTAGCTTTTCTCAGATATTCCCTTCCATTTTTGGGAAAGGAAGGAGGAAGGGGTGTTCTTGAGGGTGCCTCCAGTGTGTAGTATTTCACGTTTCATCCATTTGAATCAATGTTATTAAATTCAACTCGGTCATCTACTCGACTGGGGTACCGGTCTAACAAGTCACTCGTTCAACTAGTGAATCATTGGTTAAACCGGTTGACCCAAATAAATATATGTAAATTTATATTTTATAGTCAAAATTTAATAAAAATGTTCAAATACTTAAATATACATATATATGTGGGGTTCGCTTTTTTACGGTCAATGTAGATAACTTATCTACAGTGAGTCCAAAACGACGTCGTTTTGAGACAAAAATCAATGTATTTTTGTAATTGTAATTTATTTCAAGGTTATAATAGTCTTTTTTATTATAATTTTTTAACTCAAAACAACGTCGTTTTAGGAGCGAATGTGGGTAATTTATCTACATTCACTTTAGAAACATTAAAGCCATATATGTGTTGCAATTTAGTGATTTGGGTTGTTGATAGTGGTGTAAAAATACATGATTTCACAATTTTTATTTATTTATTTATTTTTAAAATTGCATGATCCACCCATACAATCGATTTAAAGAAAATTGACTGGGTCATCAGTTTTTTTTCAAAAACCAGCCGAGTTGAACAGGTCTTACCGAGTCTATTACATGGCCAATCCATTGACTTACTCGAATTGGTTACATCACCGGTTGATTGGGTTGATTCAAGCGGGGTTTAATAACTCTGATTTTAACTACTCAGCACTCATTATGACGACCTTCCTGATTTGTGCAAGTCCAGATTTTGTTTGTTGATAACTGATAAGCACTTTTAATGAAAATGGAGAATGGTGAGTTTGGTGGCAAAAATTATACTTTGGTTCGAAGGATAAAGAGGCAGTGGTTGTGAATGACAGTAAACAAAAAAGTGAAAAATCTCTTCTATGATAAAAGGAGGCCGAACAGAACTCAAGTTTTATTCGCTATTGCTCTTCCTCTCTTTTTTTTCTTTTTTTTTTTAATATAGTTTTATCCCGCAAATCGTTCAAGTTAAAAATCAATTACTATGCAGGCCCTTTTAAATGCGTGCGTATGATCTTGATTCATTAATCCGCTTCAATTTTATTAAAAAAAAGGTTCTTATAATTCAGAATTTTTCATATATTTTTTTATTACATGATAAAGGGAAAAGTTCTGCAATGCTTACGTGGTTTGCTTCAGAATCATTTATGCTCCTGTGATTTTTTTTTATCACATATATCTCCGTGGTTTGCAAAATGGTATGTTTTTTATCACATATGCCCCTGTGATTTTTTATTTTTTACAAAGCACAGGGGCATATGTGATAGAAAAAAAACTACAAGGGCATAAGTGATTCTGAAACAAATCACAGAAGCATTGATGAAAAATATAATGTTAAACATTAATTCAACAAATACGAGTCAAATTTAAAATTGCATCTTGTTTGCAAAGGATACAAGTTCGGTCAGAATACCCACCAGAATACCGTCGCAATATTATTGTGTTGGGTGCTACATGTTCTCTTTCTTGCATTATACGACTCTATTTTTTGCTTCGAATTTTGTGGCTGATCTAGAATATACACCATAATCGATAAAAGTGTATAAAATTGAATATAAAAGTGCATAACATCTATGTTATATATAACAGCGTATAAGGTTTATGTTATCTTTTTAGGGATTAATGTCTCTCGTAGGAGATAATTTTATCTTTTATATATAAAAATATATAAGATCTTTTTTATCTTTTTCTCTCATTTCTCTTCACATGGTCCCACATGAGTTTCACACACTTTTATATGTGTATGAGAGATAAAATTATCTCTTACAACATGAAAAACAATTTGTGAGAGCTAAGCATACTCTAGTGTAAAAAAAGGGAAAATTATTAATGTATATAATTCAGTGAATCTACTCCCCCTTATATGTATGATCAACTTTCATATGAATGTTTGGGAGAGAAAAAAAAAGACGTAGTATAGAAGTTACCTTCTTTCTCTTGGATCTCTTATCATATGATAAAGTAATAAACTAGGTTCTAGTTTAAGACTCAATGCACTTGGCTGTTACTCATCTAATTCGTTAATGATAATCACATTTCTTAGTTCTTACACATCACCTTCCAATACCAAAGCTTAAATATTGATGCTGATAAAACAAGACATTATTTATCTTTTATCAATTGAACTTCAAGAGAGTCTTTGGCTGAAAACAATAATGGAATCGCCCACCAGTTTCAAAGTTGAACAACCGTTGCTTCAGTTGAAGCTCAATTATTGCAAACAAGCTTGCTCCACTTGGATAATTCGAAACCAATCCACAACAGCTCCTTTCATCATCCAAGTTGCTTGGTGACACTTCACATATTTGCAAAAGTAGTAGCGAAAAGCTGTCACATGAAGTATCCGAGCAAGTATTGTATTAGAGTTAACAAAATTCTAACATCGGTTCATTTTGGTGCACACTATTGTATTAATATCACTTCAATAAACGGGTAAAATATAGATACATCTAGCATTTTCAAGTGTCAGAACTTCTTAGGTTTTGGTTAATTTGCAGCTTAATAATGGAAAAGAATGGTAAATTCTAAGGTGCATCTCATACATCCATGAAGTTGCATAAAATTGAATATAAAAAATTTGAAAGAAAAAAAAATTTCAGTTATAAAAAATCTCATACATCTATGATGAGATATGAAATAGTGAAGGCACACCCCTAAACAGCACTCCTTCCTAGACTTCATAAACCCCAACATACAGGATGGCATAGGGGACCAGAGACAACAACCAGGAGAAAATCTGAGAGGAAAAAAGAATCAAAATACACCAAAATTTATGGACACACAAAACTCAAATAGCTTATTAAAAATATAGAACCATTAAGGCCCAGCATTGGATGCTGACCTATTTCAGTCTTTTCCAGCCAGTCAATAAGAAAAACTAAACATAAGATTAGTCATATGAACTTGAAGAGGTTCGGCACAGTGGCAAATACTTCTGAGACCATGGTATCTAAACTCTGTCCAAGAAAAAAATTATTTTCATGCATTACTATATATGTGAAAGTGAAGCAATTAAGGATACCAAGTTGAAGCTAAAATACAAAGTTTTGATATTCTACAAATCAGAATTCATCATAAATGATTTCACTCTAAATAAGGTTAAGCTACACCACGTGGACAAAGGAAGCAATGTAAATCAGTATCACTGTCCATACTTACAAATGAAGGATATACTTCCAATAATAAGTGAGTGAGATAAAATAAGATAGCTTGCATTCCACAACCCCAAAAGGTTTAAATTAAACGACAGAAAACTACATAAAGTTTGAAACTCTTATGCTGCTGAGTGTTAATGAAGAAATGATATAAGTAACTTAGTAAAAGAGGTCATACAGGCCACTAGTAAAACTGAATGATTATTTCATAGCTCAAAAGAAGAAGATTCCAATGACCTCAATCAATTGAAGAAGAGAATGAAAATTATAATAAAACTGTACCCCGTTAGAAAAAAGAGCCAATGAAAACAATTACCATAAATTCAAAGAACAGATCAATAAGCAAAGACATGGTTTAACAGTTTTTTATAATGGAATTAGATAATCAGAAGTTCAGAACTGTCAGCTGATGCATGAGTCAAGAATACAAATAAAAAAACTATATACAAATGTTGCACGTGGATGGAAGCTTCAGGTTCACATATGGTTATCAAATCACAAAAGAAACAGAAACACATTTAACGATGAAATCTTTTCCAGGAAATTCAATACCATTTTAGACAGGTTAGGAAGATCAGAAGAAATTAATCAGCAATGAAAGATATATTGGCCACGGTAATAGATTCTGGCATCATAACCATATTATGATCCCATGAATTCTATTCACATTCTTTACATCGTAATGTGCCAATTACCAAGTCAGAGTTCATTTCAATGTTTCCTAGTGGTTGATTAACACAAAACAGAACGTACATGAACAGAAAATAAACAGATTAATCTCAAATTACAGACAAAAACCCCTGTTGAAATAGAGAGGTGTTAAATGCCTGAACAGTACTCAAATTTTGGTGTAGTACACCAATGACTTTGAGCCAGCCTGGCAATCATTATAGCAAAAATTTTTTAGGGAAAAACTAAGTTTCCCATTCAATTTAGTCCCTGACAAATCATATTACTCCTTAAAGATGAAAATTAGACAGAAGTTCTAGTCCTTCAAATTAGTTCTAAATGCTGTTAAGTCAGGAACTAATTTGACTGGCAGAATGTATATTTTAAGACTTATGTGGTAATTCTCATCTTGTAGAAACTAATTCGACTAGGGACTAATTTGTTCTAGAAGCAAAAACAATTAAATGCCAAAAGATATAAAATGCAATCATCTAACTATAAAGTACTAACTTAATACAAAGTAACCTTGAAAGCAAGCTAGAAATAGTAGGGTTGGTAAAAATGGACCTCATGGCTCTACATTGTTGCCAAGCACAAAGGAGAAGAGCTCACGAACTGGGGAAAACTCAACAAGGCCAATGTCAGTAGCATAACCATTAACGGGCAATTTCAAGTCCCTTAAAACAGAGAAAGCCTCAGCCATCCTCGCTTTGGGAACATGATGAGCAACGGAACAATAAGGGATCCAACAATTGAATGCATAGTCTTCACCAATGTCAATGCCTTCCTTCTTGATAGCATCACAGAGCTGTGACTGAAACTGAAGCAATGACACTGAAGGTGTTGGTGAGAGGAAGAGGACGTTGTTGTCATTAGGGAGTGTACCAATTGAAGAGAACGAGAGAGGCAAAGGCTCTTGCTTTGAAGCGAAGGTCTTGACCAGTGACTCAAGCTTTGAAGGGTCGATGAATGGTGTGGAGAAGAGTGTGATGTGAGGTCGTGATTCCATTTCGATCAACTGTGTGCTGATTTGTCTCCGAGCAAGAACGTTCCATGCTTTCAAAACCTGGTTTTCTAGCGCAGGGTCCAAATAAAGCTCAATTGCGTAACCTTGCGACATTGGAATTCAACCACACACACCCAATACTCCAAATTGAGATCTGACACCGACCCAGATCAACAAAAACCAAGGGAAAACAGGGGTTCTTGGGGATTTTCAAGAAAGATTAGAAATTGAAAGTGGGGTTGGCAAAGATAGGTAGAAAATGGTAGAAAAATGAGATGGAGAATTGAATAGAGAGAGAGAGAGAGAGAGAGAGAGAGAGAGAGAGAGAGAGGACTGAGGAGAGTGTTATTGTTGCGTCGAATGTTTAGTGTCTGCAACTGCAATCTGCATACATATACGCAATGCACCAGTTAAGGTTTCGATTGTTTGTGTTTTTTTTTCACAGCAACCAAAATGGTATGGAACTGAAAAAGGGTTTCTTTCAGGCTCACTCAATCCCGGGGACTGGTAAAATTTTTGGTCATCTGCACTGATGAACGGTGAAAGAGTGAATTGTTATCATTTGAAGAAGGGTTAAGGGTTGAATCTTTTTTTATTTATGTGATCATGATGATGATGATGATATTGGATGTTTGATTACTTGCTGCATTCATGTTAGGTATATTATGTAAATAGATCTTATATACATTATCAGTTAATAATTAATGGGAAATCATTATCTCCTTCTACATGAGATAAGAATTTTTTCCTACACAAATTCGTTTTCCGTGCCAATTAATTTTTCTTTTCTTTTTTAATTTAAAATGTGGGACCCACAATTAACTTATCTCTACTTTTTTTCTCTCCTACTATCCTACAACATAAGAAAATATGCACCCATAATTAATTGTTGGGAAATTATACTCTTATGCTACATAAGACTCCTATCTCATTTTACTCTCACATAAAAAGATGTGCCTCTCTTTTCTTTCTTTCTTTCTTTTTTTAAAATTGGTAGGCCTCACTTAATTTATCTCACAACATGAGATAGCTTCTCTCATACAACATGAGAGAAGTAAAACCCTTAATTGTTATAATTAGTAACCAAGTTCTCTTATTATTATTATTATTATGTTACTACCAATCAATCTCACCGTTAGATTGATTATGTTGATCCAACAGTTATATTTATTTCCATATTTGTATGGTCATGATTTTTTCAAATTTAATACTTTTATGATTTTCCATATTTAATACTTTCACTTTAAATATGAAAAATCATAACCATATTAAATATGAAAAATCATAACCATACAAAGATGAAAATAAATACAATCGTTGGATCAATATAATCAATCTAACGATGAGATTGATCAGTAGTAACACAATTTGATTATTAAAATTTCCTTCCCCAAATACTAAATGATTTGTTTTTTTAATACACTTAATTTGGAAGCTGTGTGTTTACGTAATAATTTTTCTTCCACATTCTTTGTAAGAAAAAGGTTTCTTATCATATCATTTCAAAAATGGGTGCATATTTTCTTATGTTGTAGGATAGTAGGAGAGAAAAAAAGTAGAGATAAGTTAAATGTGGGTCCCACATTTTAAATTAAAAAAGAAAAGAAAAATTAATTGGCACGGAAAACGAATTTGTGTAGGAAAAAATTCTTATCTCATGTAGATGGAGATAATGATTTCCCTTCAAAAATATAGACAGACGATGAGAGAAATTTTATTATGAAATTTCAAATGTGAAATGTTCATTTCATATTGGGCTGAGGCTAACGATAACAAGCCTAAAGATAATACAAGATAGTATGCTCGGGCTAATGAGCCCAATATATTCCTGAGACCGGAAAATAACAAGCCCAAATTCTTAAAATCCAGTATAACAAACTCAATATTTTTTGCATTGTTTGGGTGCATTGAAGTAGGAGTGTTTATCAACTGATCCAAACCGATTCAAATTGCAGTGACCGAACCAAAAAACTGATAACCGAATAAACTGAAAAACCGAAAACCGATTAAAAACCGTAAATTTTAATTGGATTGGATCGGTTTTTGGATGGGTTGATGAAAACCGATCCAATCCAAACCGATCCAATATATTAATTTTCCTCTACCTACTTGAGTATTTCCCTAATCATAGCCTAAGAATTTCTAAACCCAAGACTCATTAACCATCAACTAAACCCAAGAAAAAATCTAGTCATATCTCATCAACAAAATTTTATCTTTGTAGAGCTTCATATCTCATTGCCAAAATTGAAAAAATTATAATATAGTTTACTAATGCTTTTGTATTTCAAAAAAAAATTACAAAGCCAATATATACAAAAGATGTTATTTGCACAATAATCATGAAATAAATTTTAGGATTTTTAAAAAACCGAAAACCGATCCAATCCAAACTGGAAAAAATTGGATTGGATCGGATCGGATTTGAAAAAAAATCAAAACCGAATGGATAATTATATGATCAAACCGAAGGGATTGGATCGGATGATTTTTGCTTCCAAAACCGATCCAATCCAGACCGTGAACACCCCTACATTGAAGCACCTTACGATATCTTTTTGTAAAATATAAATATTAATGATTACTTTCATTTTTGTTATGACATTTTCAAAGGATTTCATTTCATAGAATAATATTTATAAAGAATAGCATAATGATTAAATCACACGAACCAAATTTATATTAAGTTAGACTGAATTAGACTTAATATATATATATATATATATATATATATATATATGGAAAAATATTTCTGCAGTTAATGTAGATAAGTTATCTGCATTTATTTTTAAAACGGCGTCGTTTTGGTATTGAAATCTTAAAAATTTATAAATATAAAGACTATTATAATCCTGAAATAAATTAAAATTACAAAAATACCATGATTTCCGTCCCAAAACGACGTCGTATTGGGCTTACTGCATATAACTTATCTGCAGTAACCTATGTAGCACCGATATCGACACGGGACACGAGACACGATACGACACGACACTCCGACACGTTAATTCTAAAAAATGTTAGATTTCGACACGTTAGAACACGTTTTGATATTAATAATATTTTTAATTTATTTAGTGTCTATAATATTTAATATTCAATAATTTAACAAAAAAATGAATTTAAAATTATATTATACATAAATTTTGCGAAGAAACATAAGATATCCCAAATATTTATATTAATCTCAATAAAATAGTAATCGTAATCTAACGAATCTAATAGTTGGAACTAAAAACTCAACGCAACGCAACCTTTAAAACTTTTTTTAAATTTCTATAACGCGTGTTGGAGTGTCGGAGTGTCCGAGAGTGTCGGGAAGTGTCGGACACGACACATCAAGATTTTTGAAGTGTCGGTGCTTCATAGGCAGTAACAGCAGAAAAAGCGAACCCATATATATATATATATATATATATATATATATACATACATTGTATGGGAAATAATTTTTTTATGTTGTAGGAAGAAAGTTATCTCATGTAATAGAAATAAAATTACAAATAGGACCCACAGATAAGAGGAAAGAGAAAAAATAAAGGTGTGACCCACCCTTCTTTTGTGTGTGTAGAAAATTGGCTTCGCTTATGCAACATAAGATAAATATAACCCATATTGTATATGGGAAAACTGTGTGTCATTTTAAAGGATATAAAGTTGTGTCATTTTAAGAGTGAGAAAGAGATAAATCATGGAAGAGAGAGAGCGTATAAAAAATAAAGGTTTGAGTCCCACATCTTTGTGAAAGTGAAATGACACAAGTTGTGTCATATAAAGGACAAACTTTTTTCTCATTATATATACATATAATATAAGTAATGTAGGCTTAGTCTCATATCATATATTTTAGGTTGTATGTACCCAGTAATTATATATTTAACATAACCTCTGTTTTGTTTAGAGATGGCAAAACGGGCTCGGCCAGCCTACCCGCTGAATAAGACAGGGCGGGCTGAGTTTTTCAAACCCGTCGCACGTCAAGCTCGCCAGCCCGCCTGGGCTGGATTTTTTATTTTTTAGTGTAAAATGTCACGGGCTTGGTGGGCAGCTCGCTCTGCCCGCCCAAACGGAACAAGGCAGGCAGCCCGCTTTGCCACCTCTACTCCTCTAGTTGTGTTATTACACACACAGATTTATTCCAATGTTTCTTTCGTCTCTTGTTTCTCTACTTAGTATCTAGAGCCTAACGAGAGAAACCTTGATCCGTTTATTTTCTCAGGTGAACCTATTGTTCATCGCATTTTACAAAAAAAAATTCGGATATTATCTCTTTGTCAGTTTTCGGACATCATTTTTGCTCTTGGGTTGTCTATGCGTTGTTGCCAACCCTTTCTCCTCGTGCACTTCCATTGGAAACCCATTGCTTGCTGCTCCTCCGTCGTTGACCACTGCGTCCGACAACTTTTTTCGACGAACCACCTACTGTTGTGCTTATATCGACTGCATGGTTTCGCCTGTCCAAGTAGCATCCCCGTTTGATCATCCATGTGCGCGTGGCAGTTTTGCCTCTCCATTCGGATGGGCTGCACGTGGCGACGTATGGCGCCTCCTTTCTGGCAGCAACTGATTGGCTTTTCTAGCCTCTCCAAGATGGTTATAGATCTGGTCTTATTTTGGAGCTTTGACCTCGTTATTAGTGACATACAAACCCCACTCTTTTTGGTTAGTTGTGTGAGTTGTCATTTTTTATTTTTTTGGTCTTTTTTTTGGTGATTATAGGTTCTAATGTTATCTCTCCTATTTCTGAGTCTTTGTTTGGCCCCAATGATCGTGGACATAAACCCTCTAAAGGTCGGTTATTTTACACTCATTGACATCTGACCAATCATATTATTGACCGCTGTTAGAAGCTCCATGGCAAGACACCCCAGCCTCCTCAAACTACTCATGTTGCCAGGCTCCTTCTATTGCTTCTGATCCAGGGTTGCCTTCTGCACTATAACCTCCTGCATATCTTCTTAATGAGTTTGTGACTTGGTGGTCTGAGAAGCAAGCATTTGGTTCTACTTCCACCATTTTTCCATCTGGTAATTCTTTTGTTGGGATCGTTCAGTTACAATCTCTAAGTCCTTGGACTCTTGATTCCGGGGCTTCTAATCATATATTTTTGGTATATGTCTTTATTCACCTCTATACTAATGATTCATTTCTTACTATTAATATGGCCAATGGGTCTTTGGTCCAATCCTATGGGATCAGCATGGTTCTTCTCTTCCCTGCTTTATCTCTGGATACTGTTCTCTATGTTCTTAATTCCCCTTTTAACTTACTTTCAATTAGTCGCTTTACCAAATACCTTGATTGTATGGTTTCCTTTACGAAAATTTCTGTCATTTTGTAGGATCGGAGTTTGGGAAACGTGAATGCCAAAAGGTGTGAGTCTCACGGTCTTTATCAAAATTTCCCTTCTTCTTCAGCTTGCTCTACTTTGGATTCTCCCCTTACTATCCATGCTCGTTTAGGTCATCTAAGTCTTGCCAAGCTTCAGAAGATGGCACCTTATTTATCATCTCTTTCTACTTAACATTGTGAGTCATGTCAGTTGGGGAAACATACTCGTAGTACGTTCCCAAGTTGTCTTAGTCGTCGAGTTTTGTCTCCTTTTTCTTTA